ATAAAAGCCGACACCGGTAGTTTAGCAGTATAGGGTTAGACCCTGAGATGAACTGTAAATCTAGACATCTTAGTTTGACTCTCGTTATTGTCTCTCAGGCTTAACCCATACTTGTGGTTTATCGGTGATTGCAGGTATAAAACGTTCACTCTGCAAGGGTGGGTCAAATGTGGCCCTGCCTTTAAATTGCATTGTCTAAATCTTAGTGTTGAAAAAATGGATCATCCTATCAGAAACCACCCTATGAATAAATGGAATATAACTCAAACTGCATTTGAAATACCTTAAAAATGGTTAAATAAGCTGGATGGATATAACAGCGAAACTAGCCTTGTTACGAAAGCTCGGACAAAACAAAATTTTCAATGATAAAATAAGTTGGAAGTCTTTGTCAAAGAAGAAGGTAAAGATATATAACAGAAATTGAATTGGAATTTGAATTTGAATGTACAATCTTCACCACCATAGCAATTACAAGCTTGCTTTTCTAGCCAATATGAACTATAAAAGCCGACACCGGTAGTTTAGCAGTATAGGGTTAGACCCTGAGATGAACTGTAAATCTAGACATCTTAGTTTGACTCTCATTATTGTCTCTCAGGCTTAACCCATACTTGTGGTTTATCGGTGATTGCAGGTATAAAACGCTCACTCTGCAAGGGTGGGTCAAATGTGGCCCTGCCTTTAAATTGCATTGTCTAAATCTTAGTGTTGAAAAAATGGATCATCTTATCAGAAACCACCCTATGAATAAATCGAATATAACTCAAACTGCATTTGAAATACTTTAAAAATGGTTAAATAAGCTGGATGGATATAACAGCGAAACTAGCCTTGTTACGAAAGCTCGGACAAAACAAAATTTTCAATGATAAGAGCATCTCCAATGGTAGTAGGCATTTTACCTATCTAAATATTACTATAAAGTATACATTTTATTTTGCCTATCAACGATTTCATGTTTCTGCCCCAACCATGCTCTTTACTTTAGCTATTCATCCAAATACTATTAACTTTATAGAATGCCACGTCAGCAACAAAGATGGAGGGAAATAATCTTAATGATTAAATACATTTTGCCTAGCCTTGAAGGCTAGCTACATGTAGCTAGTGAATGTGAGCTGAGCCAAAATGCCTAAGCATATGCCTAGTGCATTGGAGTTGAAAAAAGTGAGTCACATTAGGCATTTTGACTAACAAGCATCATATGCCTAGTGGGTTGGAGATGCTCTAATTGGTTAAACATTACATGCTGAAGTTAAACTATGAAAAGAAGAGTGCATGGAGAAACAAACAAGAATTATAAATCCAAATTATACAGTGCAGAACATGCTATAGTTTCAAGGATGTTAAGTTTAGCATTTTAGCAAATTTATTGTTATTTTATCAACATCCTGCATGCTCTTTAAAGGGTTTCTCTATGAGGTAAAGTTGAATTTGAGAGTCGCATTCGTCCAATCACTTAGTGGAAAAGAAAGTGATCAAGTGATGACAACCAGGAGGTTGGCTTGGAAACATCCATCCTTTAAAGAAAGTGTAATAGCTCATTGGTCTAGCTTCATGGCACCGAAAATGTATCAGGGCTCAAGTGATTCACCGAAGGGGCGAGACCTTGAAAACTACTTTTTCAAGTGTCAGTAGCGAGGTGTTTTGTCAATTAGGGAAGGTTATTGGTGACAACACCTGGAGATAAGGGCGATATTGTGCCTAAAGCTAAATAGATTTGATTCCCTGCCCTTCTAATGGATATGGAATCACAAGCACAAGATTGAGAATCTCATCCACAAATTGCAGAACGAGGAGCATCTTAGGCAACCTGCTCCTGAACAGGTGGAGCAGATCGTGTCAATGTTGGATTCACATCTGTTAATCCAAACGCAAATTTACATCATACACAATCACAATCATTCACAATTATTTATCCTAATTCATGCCACTAAATAGTGGAACAAGGAAGTGGATGATCCCATAAAAAAATGTTCGTACGATTATGATGTTGCTAGGCATGGGCGCTTTCTATTGCCTGCTTTGCTAGCCATATCGACAAAAGATGCATTACCTCCATGTTCACTGTTAATACATATTTTTGTATTTTGAAACAATGTCACAATCAATTTAAAAGGCTATTGAGGCTTATGGATTAAGACTTTCTCACAGATCAAGGAAAACAGCTTACAACAAAACCTTAAGGCCTAGAAAACCAAAGGCTCAAGCCCAAGAAGCAAGGCTCTCATAAAAGACAAGCATCAAACTTGGAAAGATCTTATGCTTGCAATGCATACTTCTCAACCTAGCCCAATGCAAGCAACCTATACCGATAATCACAAACAAACTTTTTACCTATCAGTCTTACTAGTTTATTTCAACACATTAAGATACACAAGTTCTACAAATCACACCACTAGTTATAGATATCACTATTTTTTACTTCTTTGCACGGTTAGTCAGAAGTTTAAATCATAACAACTTGGTAGCTAAAATCAATTTCTATGAACTTCGCACAAAAAATTTGCTCCTCAAACATAGAATCCCAAAAATAGTTGTAAGACATTGGTGTCCTCATGTAGTTTTTAAAGTCTCATCATTTCATACCTTTTAATCTATTGTTAATACCTTGTAGATTTTCTAATTTAGGCCTTAGTCCTATTAAATTTTGGCATTTCATTGTCTCCAAGGTAACTTATAAACCATTTTAGAGCATCTCCAACCTTTCACCAATTTTTTCAACTAATTTGATTTCAAATTTGAGTTAAAAACTTGATCATTTCATTAAAATCTTTTTAAAAATCTTCTTCTTATCCAAAATTTTCTTTTTCATCAAACTTGATCAAGAAAACCCATCTTCAATGCTTCATTTTTTTAAAAATTTAAATCAAATTCAAATTTATTTGATAGGTTCTCAATTTGATGAAAAAAATAACTCTCCCATAATGAGATTTGATAAAAGAATTGGAAATAATTTTTTAACACTTTCGAAAAAAAAAAAAAAAACAAAAATAACTAAATGGGTATTCAACTAAAAGTCATGCTACAAGCATAAACAAGCAACGAATCCATAAATTCTCTGCTCAAACAAAAAGATCAACAAAGTGCTCAGCCAAATGAAAACCCAATAAAGAATTAAAACTCTGTGTGAGTTCCAAATATTATGCCAAGTACCCGCAAAGGAGAGCCAACAGAGGCCATGGGACTTTTCGAATAGGTTGTGTTGTAGCTCTTCATCTCCGCCTAAAATAGACTGGTTCAGCTTCCACATTGTTTGGGATTATTATTATTATTATTATTGCTACTATTGGCTGAGCTTTCTTTGCTCATCCAATGGCTTTTTCATCATCCCAGATCACTATTTCTTTGTTTCTTCACTGGGTCACCACCACGAAGTGGCGATCATGTGAGAATTTCAATCTTATTTTTATTTATATAACTACCCCACCTTTTAAGGCTATTTCTAAAAGCACCCCATTTTTACTTCACAAGTTTACTCCCCCAGCCTCTGGGATTACTAGCGCGGCTAAACACACAAGTTGTCTAGTCTTTCAACAACACATCATTCAGATATGTACTTATAGGGCAATGTTATCTCCACCAATCATCTAAATGTATGTATGTCGGTTTGATTATCCGGTAACAAAAGTGATAATTGTGATTGACAAAGGTGACAATTGCGATTGACAAGGGTTGCACGATCATCCAAACAGTAAAGCAGCATGCATAAATTTGAACGATTTGAACAAGCTCAAATTTGATGGATAAATTATTTTGAGTACTTATAATATTTTTTGAATTACTTCTATTTTTTTTTACGTCATACATCCAGTCTAATAATATTATTATTTTTACATAATTTATTATTATTAGCCAGACACATCGTCACAATGTAATTTATTAGAAAATTACACTTTATTCCTCTGTTATGATTCATTATCACTTTACTTTTTAATAGAATTATATTACATTTTAATTTTTGATTTGTTTTAATTTTAGTTTTCTATTAACATCATGGAATCAAAAGAGTGTGAAAAAATGACATAAGAGTTCTACAAACCAATTTTTATAACTAAAATGCTCATTAAAAAGTAATTTATATTCATATCAATAAGAGATGTGTATATATATATACTTTATCATAAAAATAAAATTTGCACATACTTTTTTTGACAAAATTTATATATTATAGTTATGTAAATAAATTAGCTTGTAAAATCATCTCCAATTATTCATCAAAAGTTTGATTTGATATCAACTATTCCAATAATTTTATTAAATTTTCATCAAAATCTTTTAAAAAATTAATTTTTCATCCCAAATTTCACTTTTCATCAATTTTGATAAAAAAAAAAAATCAGCTCTAATCCTTCATCTTTTAACATATTCATCAAATTCAAGTGAAAAAAGACTTGTTAAAAATCTGATTAAAGATTTGATTCATTCTTAATTTGATGAAAAATTTGTTTCTTCCTTGATTTGATACAAATTTGATAAAATGATTGAACCTCATTTTTATCAAATTAAAATTTGATAAAAAAATTTGGTAAAGGACTAGAGATGCTCTAATTGACTATTTTGGTCATAAAATTTTTTCTATCATCTTTTCATAACAAGATGATAACAGTCACGTTTGGGAAGTTGTTTATTTTAATAGTTTATTTTAGTAGATTAAAATATTTTTATTTGAGAAAAGTGTTAGATTTTTTTTTCTAGTCGGATGTGTTGTTTGTAAGAGAAAAAGTAAAATAATTATGAGTTTGATGTGCTATTTTATCTTATTAATTATTTTAGCTTATTTTTAATTTTTTGTGAATTTTAGCCAAAAAAAAAAAAAGTTAACTTTTGGCTTCCCAAACACCGCAGGTTAAGATTGAAACAAATCAATAGAGTAGAGGCAAAAGTGAACAACTTTAAATTGAAGGGGTAAAATGATAATACCTATAACTAAAGGGTAAAGTATAATTTGCCCTAATTGCTACTGGCTGGCTGGGTGTATTACTGCAAGTCACCAACTTCCCGAAAGAGAAAGGTGCAAGAGAAGAGAGAGAAAAACCCTAATTCGGTTTTTGAAGGGACAACGGAGAGAGAGAGAGAGAGAGAAAGTTGGTGAAGATGTCGTCGACTCTACTGGAAGTGACTCGGGCGGGTCATGAGGAAGTCGAGCGGCTCGAGCGACTCATCGTGAAGGATCTCCAGAACGAACCGGCCTCAAGCAAGGACCGCCTCTTCCAGAACCACCGTGTCCGCAACATGATCGACGAAATCACTTCCACCACTCTCAAATTGGTACCCTCCTCGAAAATGCTTGATTTATTAGGTTTACTTTCGTTTTCCCGATAACCAAACAGGGGATCTGTGTTTGTTGCAGGTCGAGATATATGAAGATAAAGATAGTGCGAGGAAGGATGAGATTGCTGCTCTTGGAGGCCAGACTGCCACTGGAACAAACGTGTTTAGCGCATTTTATGACAGATTGAAAGAGGTATTTTGTTATGGTTTTGTCTCTTTCAGTATAAATTGCTTCTCTATATGAAAAGAGGTATTTTTTTAGGGTTTTGGTGCTTTTCCTTGTGTGTAAGGTTGGTTGAGCTGAGTTGAGTATGTATGTATGTACAATTGTACATTGCAAGGGTTAGGAAATGAGCTCTTGCTCTCTATGTATGTGCTGTGTTAAAATTCTTGATGCAATATCTACAATTTGGGCAGATTCGTGAGTACCATAGACGTCATCCTGCTGCACGTGTTGTCGACGTTAATGAAGAGTACGAGGAGCTACTGAAGGAGGAACCGCGGATTGAGTTCACTGGGGAGGTCACTCTCTTTCTTTATCTCTATGGGTGTGCGTTGTGTGTGTGGCCCTATAACTATTTTGTTTCAATATTGTAGATAACATGTTAAGTGAATCATTTGAAAACATAGCAACTTATGTGTCATTATTTTGGCAAAACTTTGCTTTGCACTATGCAATTGTATGAGTTTAGATGTGGTTTTGCTTAACTAGATGCTTGCTCTGCAAGATTTCAATAATTGATTACTTAACTAATATGTTTCAGTATGTCATAGCTTCTTTTCTGATTAGGCCAGAAAAACTTCTGCTTCATTTTATTTCATAGGAACCCTGATTCAATCTTCTGCAATGTGACATGAAGATCTATAGCAGAAATAATTTATGACTAAATTGAACTGCATGAATAACTAGTGCTGTGATAGATAGTTATGCATTAGACATCAAGTTGAAAGATTTTTTGATATTACCCTTGATTCTGAAAATTCATGTTATATAGGGCATTTCTTTCAATCATCTTGGCCGGAAATGTAAGCCTTCTGCTTTATCTGAACCAAAGTTAAGTTCAGGTGTTCATGTATTAATGGGCAAACTTTTGCTGACTCAGATATTGCAGTTCATGTTAAGCCAAGTTATGGGAGTTATTTTATTTAATCTTTGACTTGTGTTACGAAAATTCATGTTTCCTGGTCTTTAGGTTTTATTCAGGTAACTAATGTAGATCATATGTTCAGGAAGCCCTTGGAAGGTATCTAGACTTGCATGAATTGTACAACGAGTACATTAACTCTAAATTTGCGGAGCCCATTGAATACTCTGCTTACCTCGATGTTTTTTCTCAACCGCATAAGATACCTCGCAAACTGAAATTGACCAGGTAAGATTCCTTGCAATCTGGAGGAAAAAAAAAAACCTCAATCTTTTTTCAATCAATAATTTGGACATTTCTTTGTCTGCATGTAAGTTTATTTTTGCGTCTGTTTAGTATGGTAATTAAGCCTTATTCATACCTTTTTAATTTTAATTTTTTTTTTAATTTAATTTTTTAATTTTTAATTTTATTTTTTATTTTTTGCACAGGAAGTACAGGGAGTATTTGGAAAAACTACAGGAGTATCTGATATATTTCTTTGATAGGACAGAGCCTTTGCAAGATCTTGATAGAATATTCTCAAAGGTTCACCTTCAATGACATTCTTGATGTGTTGTTCTAGATTTAGGAATTCCTCCTTGTTTTTCCTAAAAAGGTTACTGGTTTGTGGCAGGTAATTACTGAATTTGAGGAGCAATGGGCTATTGGCCAGATACAAGGATGGGAGAATGAGGCTCAAGAAAATGGGCATGTTTCAGCTCAACCTGCTGGAATCGATCTTGATTATTACAGTACAGTTGAAGAGTTGATGGAAGTGGGACCTGAGAGATTAAAGGAGGTAAGGTTGACCAGTATTGAAATTGATGGACATCTTTACTAACTTTTATTGGATTTCAAGAATTTTTCATTCCCAAGTCTATTGACACATTATTGCTGGGGGATTGAAGTATACTCGTGATCATATACTCCAAAGCAACTCATGACTACAAATGTGTTGATTGAGTGCATGCAGCTAGAAGTGATGGTAGTAAATCTTCCATGATGAAAAAGGGATAAAATAAAATAAATTTCCCATCAAATAAATAAACACAGTTTACATGCAGACACACTTGGCAATCTCACAAACTTTTCAGTTTCAGTTTCCAGAATATTGTTGAAGTTAAGCAATCACTGACTCATATTTGTGCATTTGTCTTGCGTGCTTAATTGAATCAACATTGTTGCCATACATGAGCTATAAAGTGGGTTGTTTCCTTTATGTTATTTCAAATCAAATGGACCATCTGAATGATGAAGATCATGCCAAATTATGAGTCTAGTTTTTTTATTTTACTTTAAACAATGAGTGGTGTAATACAAGGAAGTGGCATTTTGTTCTTTCTGGTCATACTAGAACCTTATTTTAATTAAGGAAATCTAATAAAGTAGGTTAAACATCAAGGATGAGAAGTAAAAGAGGCGTCGCTTAGAGGATCGATGTGGGCTTTGGCCTTTGTATGCATGAATCTAATTCACCCGCCTTACATCATGTGTATTCTTGTACAATTTTCAAACTCTAAATTATTACATTGCCTTTATAGTTGCAAATATTTTAATCCTCTTGTATGAGTTTAGAGTCATTGGACTTAAATCTAATCTCACCTACTAAAATTATATGAGGATGAATCAATAAAATGCCAAAGGATATGTATTTTGCTTGTTGCTTCTTTCGTTTTTGTTTCTTATTGGTTTGTACTGTCTCACTGGGTGGTAGGCATTGGCTGCACTGGGACTTAAGACAGGTGGTACTATTCAGCAACGTGCAGAGAGGCTTTTCCTTACAAAGGTGATTTCACCAGCTCCTTTACCTAGTCAAATTCGTGTTGCATTTTCTTACATGAATTTTATTGCTGTCCTTTTGTATTAGTGAAAATGTGCAACTAATAACCCATTGATCAAAATTGTGCCTTGGTGGTAGGTGATTGTTTACATGCTCTTTATTCTTTCTTTTTGTTTGAATGATTGATTGGTGGGATCATGGTTTAAAAGTATTATTTTGTTGTAAACTTCAGCATCCTGTGAATCTTTGAGAATTCCTCAAAAATAAATAAATAAATAAAATGTAAAACAAGCATTAATTATTGTGCATGTCTTCAGGCATCTAAAGGTTTACATCCTTAGAAATGGTTGAGAAACCTCAGATGGTTTTCTGAATGTTGACTTGACCAAAACTGACCAACTGGAATAAGAAAGATGTGATAAATAAAATGTGACTTGATAGAGGGGGGATGACTTAGCACGTAGACTTTCTCACATTGATGCTTCATAAATTTCTGAGTTAATGTTTGGGGTATTAGTTATGGGTGTGAGTGAGGTATTTGTCTAACAGGCCTACTTTTGGATTTGTATTCTTTCAGTGTCTGACAAAGGCTAGGTGCATGTAGGGAACTGCGAAGTTCCTCAGGTACTTTGAGGGCAACAGTCCCTTGAAGTATTTGCTTAGAAAAGGTGAAAAAATGACTGAAATCCTCATAATCCAGTAGATGACCATATATGTAGCAACATGATCTCTTGGATTAATGGTGCCGGTGGATAGAGATTTCAGAGTTGATCTCTTGGATTTTATGTGGAAGCTTTAGTAGAGCTTACGAACAAAGGACCAGTAGATGACCATATTAGTAGTGACATGATCTTGGACTTTACGCCACGGCAGTCTGTTTATCTATATAGAAGTTGAGGACAGCAGACATTAATTTGACTCTTTATTCTAATATTTGGGTGGTTTAGATTTTTATTTTCTATTTTTCAGTTTTTAGGAGTTTATGTTCAAAATTTGTATTTGTTTTTAGAAATTGGTAATTTGTTAGCTTTGATTCATTCCCTATGGAAACCCTTCTAGCTACTACATTTACAAACTCTCCCTACTTCAAGGATTGAAGACAGCCTAATTTCCCATTAAATGCTTTTCAATATCAATTTTCTTTCCAGTTTCTTTTGAACTCTACGTTAAGATCCATTTTGACCAACATGTTCGCCTTAATCTCTTCATTCCCTTATTTGCAGCATACACCTCTTGAACAGCTGGACAGAAAACATTTTGCCAAGGGCTCTCGTGTATCCGAACAAAATGCAAACACTGCAGCTCCTCAACAGGCTGAGAGTTCAAAAGAAATTGCCCTTATGGAAGCCAAGATGAAAAAACTCTGCGATCTGTTGCAGGAGGTTAGCTTATGCTGCGCACTCTACTGCTTTCCTTCAGTCAAAATTATGATTTAAGATCTAGACTATTTCTCATTCCATCTTATGTTGCAAAAGGACAAAAATAAATAAACAAATAACTGTGAGAAAAAATGAGTTGGCAAGCTAGGGTTTTGTTAGCTTCTTTGTATTTGTTATTTACATTTGAGTATCAGCATGCACTGAAACATCCTTGTAAGTCTATTTAAGATGGTTAACTATCTGGTGCTTCCAATTTGATTTTGATTTTGATTTTTCAGACAATTGTGCGGACAAAAGAAAATGTTGAGAAGAAACAGGCTTTAACGTATGAGGAAATGGAAGCAGAGCGTGAGGAGGTGATATAATTTATTCTCTTGCTTTTTTCCTCTCATTTATCCTCTGCTCCCCACTACCCTGTTTGGTATTCCTGTAGGGCTTGTCTTATTTTGCTACTCCCATGCAGGTTCAGTTTGTAGTTGCATAATTTCATTTACCTATCTGAATCTTATGATTGATGATAGGTCTATCATTGGGCATGTTGGGTCTATGGTTTGTATTTCATGTTGCGAAACACTAGTAGAATATCAATGGCCAAGGCTTGTATAAGAATGAGCTACCATTCCAGTTGTATAGGCTGAAAGTAATTCAATTCCAATAGCCAGTTTGTTATAAATTCCCTCCATTATTAGATGATACCTTAAAAATGCTATTGTTTTTGAATGCCTTGCGGATAATCATGAAGTTTATTTTGATGGTGATTGGAAGTGTGGTTTGAGAAAATATGTGTTTGGTTTCAGTTTTTTGAATTCATTTTTTTTGAAAACTGAGTTTTTCATGTTTTTTTGTTTTTAGTGAATATTTTTTAAATTTTGAATATTTTTTTAACGTTTTTAGATGCACTTTACTTAGATGTATCTAAATAGTAAAATATTTGTGAAAAAATATTTTAAAAAATTAATAAATACACAAAAATACTAAAAATGTACTACATTTTCTTTTCTTTTTTTTTTTGTATTTTTTGTATTTAGTATATTTTTTAAAGATTTTTTTCACAAATATTATACTTTTTAAGTGTATATATGTTAGGTGTGTCTAAAAATTAAAAAAATTGCTTAAAATATTAAAAAAATTCATTGAAAACATTAAAATATGGAAAATAAAAAAGTAGAATTTTCTGAAAACCGGAACCAAACATTCCTGAGTTTTAAGCTAGTGTAAGATATTTCATGCACATGAAGTACGCAGCAGTAGTTTGATCTGTCCATTAGTATCCAGGTATAGACTAGAGTACTCGAATTTTACTTGTTTCATTATTCCAAGTTCTGACAGCACGTGTTTTAATTCTCTTGTTCATTGTTCATTGTTCATAATTCTTGCAATTTTGTTATGTGTTAAGCCATGACTGAAACTAGTATCCATTCTACAGTTACAAAACAAAATTGCTTGTACTGTGGCACAAATCTATGATTTCTATGACAAAGTGAATTGATTTACTTCGTTAATGTACTTTCTAACCCTAGAGGTTTGTTTGGATATGAAAATTTTAATCAGGAAGAGGTACAAGCTGACACTGAAAGTGATGATGACGAGCAGCAGATTTATAATCCCCTGAAGTTGCCAATGGGTTGGGACGGGAAGCCTATACCTTACTGGTTATATAAGCTTCATGGTCTTGGTCAGGTAAGTTCTGATTGAATGCATATCTCTTCAGCTGTTTCCTTCCCTTCATTGATTAAAGGGAATAAATCAAGATGTCTGTTCTTGTCGTCCTAGATTTTTGTTTTTTCATTTTTTTTATTTAAAAAAGGTAATTTTTAGTTCCTGTTCGTATGTAAAAATTATTCTTTTTTCCTCTAGTTTGTACGCGTTAAATTTTGCAAAGAATCTCTCTTTTAGTTCAGGTATTAAATGGATGCATTTAAAATATGTAATTGCATAGAAATTGACATAAAAGGCTGTTGACCACTATCATTTCTGATGACTTTTTTGCTGTGATGGTGTCATTACTATTCAAGCACCAGTATATCTTCTTGGATGAAAGTACAGGTTTCTCAATACTTCCTTTTGAATGCATTTCAGGAATTCAAATGTGAGATATGCGGGAATCACAGTTACTGGGGCCGCAGGGCTTATGAGCGACACTTCAAGGAATGGCGACATCAGCATGGGATGCGTTGTCTTGGCATTCCAAATACCAAGAACTTCAACGAAATCACATCAATTGAGGTATGCTCTTAGATTTTATTTTTATTTTTTGTGTGCTGCAATTAAATCCTTTTCATTTAGATTTTAGTGAGGTGAACTCATCTCGCATAATTTATCTATATTGTTGTGGTTTTTTTCATCGTGGTCATTGGTGATTTAATCTTTGTATTGAATGAAATTTTTGGAGCTTTATTTCTACTCATCATTTCTTTTGTTTTTTCTCTTTTTCACATGATATAGGATATCTTTCCTACTACGTGAGACATGTATTGATAATAAAAAGAACTACGCGAGACATCTATTGACACAGTACTGCAAGTCTTCTACATGGCATTTAATTGATTATTTCAGCAGATGAAGTCATTAGTGTCTGAGTCTGGATTAAGTTTGCGTTCGTAGTTGATGAAGTCATTCCTGTAATAATCATCATTTACTGGGCCTGATCCTTGTTATTTGGGATCACAAACTTAAACATCTTTGGATGACTATATAGGAATGGCCAAATTTAAAGCAACGGAAGTTCAAAATGAAGTCTGAATTTTCAGTGTTCTAAAACTTATAGATCTCCAAATTTGTTCATTTAGTAATTGAAGTCGTCCAAAATTTAAGAATCCCATGGCTTTGTGAGATTACTTGGTTATCAGATGCGTATGATTGGGCATGCCATTATCTGTGTATAAGAAACTTGTAAAAATCGCACTATTTTGTTGTTGCTGTTATTGTGTCTAATGTGAAAGCTTTAAACTCATCCATTCTATTACACAGGAGGCAAAGCAACTCTGGGAGAGAATACAAGAACGACAGGGAGTGAACAAGTGGCGCCCGGACCTTGAAGAAGAATATGAAGACAAAGAGGGCAACATTTACAATAAGAAGACATATACTGATCTGCAGCGCCAGGGATTGATTTAAACTAAAGAGTCATCCAGATTTTGCTTCCTTACAAAGTAAGTTTCAAGGGAAGTAGTTTCTGTTCTTGTCATATTCTTTCTCATTTGGGAATAGCTTGCATCCAAGTCTCAAGTTTAACTTTCCTTAATTGGACATTTGGAGATAGCTTTGTTTTTTTGTTTTGGTCCAAATCTCACACCGAGTTTGTGCCCCTTGGCAAATAACAGAGGCCATAATACATTTCTTTTGTGGAAATTCTATAATACACCTCATTGTGGGTGTATACCATATGCCCCTAGTCTGAAGTCTTTGGTTATGACTCATTGCGGTGTTAGTTATGACTCATTGTGATGTTAGTTATGACTTATTGTGATTATTATTGTAGTTATACCTTCTGTGGTATTTAGTTATGACTCATTATTTTTTATTTTTTTGTTAGGACTGAAAAGGTTTTAGTTGACATTTACGGTGATCAACACCACAAATGTCATAACTTGCATATGGTACACACCCTTTTGAGGGTGTGTATGTTCTAGCATGACCGTTTGTTTTGGGATGATTAAATATTGATTCAAAAAGACCTGAAGGATTGAGCATCTGCTACCCAAAGCAGGCTTACAACTTTATACAGTAAGGTCCAATTGATAGGCCTGGAATCATTTGACCATTCCTTTTTTTTTTGGTTAGCCATAGAAGTACTCCTAGTTGGGATCCCTTTTTGCCCTGATAACTTCGTTTCTTCATTAATCATCTGAATTTATTTGTGTTGCATAATATTTTCCTGAATTTTTAAATGTTTTCTGAAACACTTGAATGTCTTTTTTTGTTTTTTCTTGCAGCTATGCTTGTCTACATTGAATCATTAGGAGAGACTTGATCAGTCAATTGGAGATATTAAGACACTACTTTCAAGAGGAATATGATGGCGGACGACTTTTTGAACTGTGATCTTGTTATCTTTTGAAGGATCTAGGCAAAGGAGAGCATTGTTAGCGAAGGTCCTTTTGTTTCCAGTTACGAGTTATAGTACTAAGCGATGCACCATTTTTAGCAGTTCAAATTCAGCATTTGTAGTTAATCTGATCCACATCTCACTAGTTTGTGTTCCATATCATGGTTTTCCTTGCACAATGAATGGCAGTCGCTACAGTAACAAAATCAACAAGAACTTGAATTTATCTAATAATAATGTGTAAACCCAAAGATTATTGAGGGATTCCTAAAAAAAAATAAATAAATAAAAAAAAGAGAATATTGAGGGAATGCTGGAAACTTCTTAGTGTTGGTTTTGAGGTAATTTTGTAGCCATGTTTTTAATTTTTTATGTGGGTAAGTTAGTCTCGCTCAATTAGTTTTTGTTGCTGCTGTTTTCTGAAAAGAATTAAATAAACATTTGTTCATTAAGTCCACAGATACTATTTTAAGGATTCAAAATTGCGTACAATAGGTGATGGTAAGAAGTGCAATTTTAACCATGATGCATGTTGAGCTTGGATTGTCTCATACCATAAATAAAGATGCAGAATTCCAATAATATATAGGCACTCTATTTATCAATTATGAACTCATAGTTTTTCGAGTGATCTTTACACAATTATATTACTGAAAGAAATGAAGGAAAATAAGTGAACAAATGAAATTTTAACCAAAAAGATGATGAAAATGCATCAAATAATATACACAAGGTCAAGACGCCTCGAGCCGAAAAACAGCTGGGCAAAATTTATAGCTTTTATTAAGCTTGAAAATTATCAAAACAAGCTAAAAAAACAAAAACAAAAACAAATAAAATACATATATTTCTCTGAAAAACTACAAATTCAATAACCAAACTGTGAGGTCTCCCTCTCAACGAGGGTTGGGTTAGTGCTCCTTGTGGAGAAACAATGGCTATATTCTCTCTGTAGTCTGTACCTATCCTAATTCATGAATTTTCTGCAGTTTGGAGCTTTACACAAGCAAGGGACTTTGAATTCGTCACACTCATCCGGATCAAATAAGTAATCATACCTGTCATTCACACAACCGAAGAAAATCATTTATGAAGCAAACTTACCAAATCAAATTAACAGAGAGAGAGAGAGAGAGAGAGAGAGAGATACATACGTTAGCTCGTCACCAGCAGATACGTTAGTCTTGGCAATTAGAACAATCCTACTCTCATCATGACCCACACTCATGATCCTTGCATAGCAGTTGGGCATACACTGCAAATAAATGAATGAAAAAAAGTACAGTAAGAAGAGATGACACACATGGTCCCTAATAAGAAACACATGATTAAAATGGATGCCTATATATATACATCCATGGGACGATAAGTAAAACACGGACTCCTTTCACATTCCAGAAACAAAATAATTCAATCAACCATCATATAGCCAATGGAAGAACTTGCACCAATCACGGAGCAGCAGATAAAAAATAGCAGAGATTCTGATAACTCAAACAAAAAGAAACAAAAAAACAAAAACTCAAGAATGTATTGTCAAGTCAACCATTTCATTTATTTAGTAATATATAAATAAAGGTGACGCAACGTCATCATCAGCAATGCGCAGATAGAAGGAAAATCATTAATGAAGAATCTCAATAAGAATGACTTACTGAATGGTTGATTAAGCGTGCAATGTTTCCCTTATCTGTGGCATCTACTACAACTTCTTCACTTATCTTAAACAGCTGCAAATTAAAAATCCAATCATGCTTCTACTTTTTTGCAGTTCTTGAAGAAAAGAAAAGGAAGAAGAAAGGAAATTTCCAAAAGCAATGAACTTACATAGCAATCTTTGCCTTCTAAACGGTAGCGTGCCTCCCTCAAATCTGCAACACTTCGCCTAACCTGCTCACCACGATATTCCAGAACCTGAAAGAAACACAGGTATGTTACCCTGCACATTTTGTAGTGTAATGCACAAGTGAACCCAAATACAATATAGTCTAGGGAAGAAAAATCCCTTGCCAAAGAATATAGCCCCGTACATACAAACAAACTAACTAAAACTAGCTCACACGGAGAAACATGCAGTGTTGGATGAATCATAATACTAATTTTATATCAAAATTAAAATTAGTCCACAATTCTTTTCCCAGCAAATTAAAGTTTTCACTGCACATGTAGGACCACTTTAGTTTTCATGATGATGCTATTCTTCTCTTACTACCAGATTATACTGACTACCCTTTAGAATCATCCTAATCTAGAGCATGGAAATGGGACTATAGAGGCTATATATGTCAATAGGACTGCCAAGCACGCCCCAGCTCTCCTGATAATTCATGAACTCCAAGCATAGCAGTGCCTTCGGAATAGTTTTAACACTTCAAAAACTAATAAGCAAAAGATGAGTGAAACAATAAAATACATACATTATAAGCAAATACGTACCATTTCTCCTTCTTGGATGTTTCGACGTGCAAAGAGTCCCCATCCATGAATTCCAGATCTCCCAAAGCAAACCCGATCATTCTCAGTTCTCTGGACTCATAAATGAAAGACAAAAAAGAAGCGATAACAGTCAACTTAGGAAATGACCTGAACTCAAACCTTTCATGTTGGGGATCAACTGCCCTCATTGCCCAAAACCCCAAAAAAGAAAAGCGGGGAAAAGTCGAAAGAAAGAAAGAAGATGGAGATTTAATAAAATTTGCCTGTAAGTGGTGCAACCGTTCCCTGAAAGTAGAAAATGCTTTAGGCTCCTCTATTTCCTGTTTAAATGAAAAAACATACATATTAGCTCCACTTGTTGCTTCTGATGCCCAAATCAAACTGGATGAGAGCAAAAACCATAGAATGCAACTTACTCTGAATGCATTCAATCTTTGTATTGCACTTAAAGAATGATGGCAAGGTCCCATCACTCGATGGGCTATGGGAATGGCCTGTTCACCTGTCTTCTATCAAGCAGAAAAAGAGAGGGATAAGAATGGGCACATGTAATAATAACAAGAAATGAAATAGTTATGTATAATCTTTAAGCATAAACAGATGACTGAAAATTGTCCTTAAAGTCAAAAAGAAAGATTTTATAAAAGATAATGCATATCATATACAAATGTGGAAAACTAAAACTTGTAGCTTCATTTTAGCAAAATTTGCAAAAAAAGAACTCAACAATATTATAAGCACATGCATTGTTGCTCAACATGTCAAAGTCAACATGTAACCGTTTAAAACTAGAATAGCAAAGGAGCAACTCCAATGGTGAGCTGTCAGAGATGCTATTGCTATAATATAGCAGGTGTGGGAAAATATGGAGCTCCAATGGGCTGCTAAAAATAGCAATTACTATATCTTGTGTCAAATTTGGCACAAGTTTTATCTATAGCTAAAGAACTCATCAACAGAATTTTGCAAGCCCGCCAGTCGTCCGGTTGATGTTGGTACAGTGTTGGTTAAGCTAAAAAAATAACAATTTCACCGTTGGAGCAACATTGCTATCCTAGAACTTCTTTGCATTGTGCATTGCTAAATTATAGCTTTAGCTATTCATTTTACCAATTCACTGTTGGAGTTGCTCTAACATAATCAATAAGGAGTATTGTCCTTCAAGTAGTCGAAAGGTAGATCATTCAATTTGTTGTAGACCATTTTACAAAATATGCAAGATAGAACACTAAAGTAAGATACAAATTAAAATTTAAGTAAAACAAAAGGAAGATTAATGTCGAATGACAAGTTGATAACTAGTGCATAATTTCAAGGCAAAATAGTTTTGACCTTGTTTGCATTTGCCTTTTTATGCATCCTTAGTGCAGATCTTTGGCAGTGCCCAGCACATACTAATAAACTACACTTAATAATGGACTACACTTAAAACTACCAGACTAAGGCAAGGCATCAAATGCATCACCAGAAGATACACATAGAAATGGAAACTAGTACAAGATTGAGGACAAGACTTGGAAGCAATCTTGCATAAAGAGTAGTAAAGCAGGAAGAAGAGACTGCATTTTTGCAGGAATGACATAGTTGTTCACTGCATCTGTTCCAGAGGCTGTTTTGCACACAAACAAATCTTTTTGAGAAAGGACAAGACAAATTTTTCTTTAAAAAAAAGATCACTTCAGCCAAAAGCATTAAGTAAGTAAATATTTGACTTACAGGAATAAAGATGACACAAAAGGGAAATCAGGATAAGGAAATAAAAACAAAGTAGGGCAGGTTGTGCAGACCCTCCAACCCCACTTTCTAAATTGTATGTGGCCCACAAAGCATTCCAAATTTCACTGCATTGTTTAGGTGAACTGACACCTTTAGAAGTATATGAATTTCAAAGGTACCTTATTCTTCAATCTTTTAAAGGTTCGACATCTTGCAGCAGAATTTGGCTCAATCTCATTGATCTCCATTATTGGAGGTTCTTGAAGTTTCAATCTGTTCGACGAAATTAGCCTTGAACCAGTGCGCTTTTTGTCTTGGATAAGGTTTTTGGTGGAAAAAACTCCTCGAGGAGTCTGCATGATTAGAACAGTATCGGGATTTGGAGCCCTGTTCTCAACAAGAAGATTGTAAATAAATAAAATATGAAAAGAATCCCAGGAGACAAAATGTAAAGTGAAATAAATAAAAGCAAGGGCATTGTGTAATTCCGGTCCTGCCAATGCAAGGTGTGAGGGGAGAGGTCACTTGATACATACTAAACCTTTGGCGTTATTAGCACAAGGGATAGATGGGACACAAAGTTGCTTATGAAATATGCTAGGTAGAGTCAAAACATGCCCTTAAACCCCATCAGAAGAAGGGCCATTGAGAACTAATGGAACTCTGGCAGCAAAAACATGTGTGTGTGTGAGAGAGAGAGAGAGAGAGAGAGGGAGAGAGAGAGACTTTTACCTGTGATAAGCACAATATGAAACCATTTTTGTAATTTGTTTCCCATTTTTTTCCAAGCAATGCAACTGCAATTCAAAAGGTATTCATCACATTAGTAACTATGTGAAAACTGGTTAGAACCTTTGTGCTACAACTATGTCACAAGCAGCAAGCACCTGACATTAGATTACTTGTGTAAATTCTTATATCGCAACATGGCAACCCTACTGTTCCTCCGAGGGATAGCTAAGATTCAAATAGAGTGATAGATACCCCACTAATTGTTAGTACTTGATAGAAATAATAACTCCAACAATTTCTTCGTTCTCAATGCCTCCTAATTACTAGGTATTAGTCACTTCAACAACCTTTAATGGTTATACAGGTATCCAAAATATGAACAAGATGGATGTTTGTTGTCCCAACCATTCTTGTTAGTCCTCAGCCTGATAAGGAAAGGGGTAATTTATTACAAAGTTTTTGTGTTATCGATTCCTAGGTGTAATGTGTCCATGTCGCCTATTGGTACTAGTGGAGTAGGATTGACCTGTAACACAAAGGGATAACTAAGATTCATATTGAGTGGTAGATACCACTGATTCAACCCCAGTAACCTACCCTTCCCTATCCATCATCACAAGGAAGGATGCCTTACCCATTTATTAGGATGAAACAGATTGATTTATTGAGACTGCACAAAACACCAATTTTGTTATCCACAAAAATGTACATTTAAGTTCTAGGCATTCTCTAATGCTAATGCCATAAATGTTTTTGCAAAAAATCCCAGGGTTAGATGGAGTAGCTCCTTCAAAATTATGTTTGAGAATATATTTTCACAATTTTCGATCATACACAAAGACACCACCAAATGTGATACATACAATTTTAACATATGATCTAATTAATTTAAAATTAACTTAAGAAAAGAACAGAGAACTTTTAGTTCAGTCATATGAATAATCTCTTAAGATTCAAAGGTCGATAATTTTTCAATTGTAATAACCTAATATTTTACTTGTTCTGCAACAGTAAAAATTACATCAAAGTATAAAATAACAGAAATCTACGTAGTTAAATTACTTGTTCTGCAACAGTAAAAATTACGTCAAAGTAGAAAATAACAGAAATCTACGTTGTTAAAAAAGAAAAAGATTCCAATTCAGGGTTGACCATCCTGAAGACACTTAATTCCAGAACGGAGATATATTTACTGAATCAGTGGAAAGAATCCTAGGTATTTATTTACAAAGATTTTAGATAAAAGATAGGCACACACCCATTCATACTTCCAAACACACACCAATAGAGAGAGTGAGTTGAAGCTTTTATCAAGGTACAATGAATCAAATTTACTGGTTGATCATTTCTCTTTTTAGATGAAGTAAGCATTTAAAAAAATGAAACCAAAATTATCATTATGTATAGAGATAGAAGGTTGGTCATTAACATGAAATGCTTAGTAAAATTCATAGAATTAAGCCATGAATTTTAGGGTCAAGATTTTGTACTTCTATAACCAAATCTTTCAATATCTTTCAACATATAAGAACTACCTCACTTCACTACAGCTTGCTGTTCATACTAGCAATCAGTTACACCACACAAATCACACCATAAAAAATTGCACATTAATCAACTTGTGAGTGCAGAAAACTTCACAACTCAATTTTCAATCCACAAAATGATATTTCTTTCCCTCGGTACCTTCAATCATTGTGTACTTCCAAATATAGCAGAGATAGAAGCAGAAGGTACTGTTGGTTTCTAAAAATATAAATAAACAAGTGGATACATGTGTATGGATAAGTGTGATGGGAGATGTTATGAACAAACAAACCATTTCATATCTCGAAAACATGTAAATACATATTGTTAACTCACCTCCATACGATACCCTGCCCTTGAAGCACATACTGCATGGTAATAAGTGGAACACTTGCAACACTGTGTGCAGGAACCATGAATTTGCTTGCAGATTACGCAGATCTGACACTCATAAAAAGAAGATACAGTTTAGGTTCCAACATCAAATGACTCATGTACATTAAAACTCGCAAATCATTATCCATCAGCATACTGACAATTCAAACTAAAATGAGACATTAATTTTTCATGATTGATCAAATGTTGCATTCTGGATCACTTCTGGTTTACACTAATCCTAAAGTAAAATTTAGAGAGAGAGAGAGAGAGAGAGTAACAACACTGTCTCAGTTACAATACCAGCAAATGTAGCAACAAACACAGTGACACACATTTGATTCATTATAAAATATATTCTCATGGAAGAAATCAGTATACTTTCCCATTTTTTTCTCTCTCTCGATGGATCACAACCCATTTTTTTATTATAGTTTTATATTCCAAGAGATCCATAAACTTGGAAGGTGGCTATTAAAAAAATGAAAAACACAATAAAGTAAAAAGTTATTCTACCTTTGAAAAAGATAAACAGAGTCACCTTTAAAGCAGTTTAAAAAAAACACTTTTTCTACCTTTACAAAAGAGTGTGATGGGATTCTCAAGATTCCAACAGCAGGCTCCATCTTTTCATCACTTGAGAAAGAAACTTCAGGTTGAAACCAAGCACAAGTAACATGAACCCACAATGACTCGACATCAGTAGGCTTCAAAGCACCTCCTACAAGGGAAAAGGAACAACATTAGAAGATAAAAGATAACAATTTACAAACACTTAGTACGTGCTATTATACTCTCTCGACACTTATGAAGCCCACAAGACACTTGAAGACAAAAGAAATCTCTTGACAGGACAGTAACCATATTGATGGGACCAATGCTGGCACTAGACTTTTTATTTATTTATAAGGTAACATCTAAAATATAGCATAAAACAGAACTTTTGGTGTATTCAAATTTTTAATTCCATAAATGCCTTTGTCTTCCTTTCCCTCTTCGTCTTGCCATCCACAAAAAAACAGATTTTGGGTGCAAACATGATTTGAACAATTCTGTCAAGAAGCCACATCATCCATAATCTTTAACATAATGAGGTTGATTTCCTACTAAAATAGTTAATTCAACAATTCCCCCACTCCCACTACCCAAAATTCTCATAACTTTGACAAAACTAAACAATCTTGTAAACTTATGGAGGTCAAGTTAAGTAGGATAAATCATCTATCAGAAAGCATTTTGTGGTGCTAACTATGACAAATCACCCTTCCGAAAACACTTCACAAGTGTAGAGTAATCACTAAAAAATTTCACATTATGCCTACGAAATCATCCTTCAGACAGTAATTTTTAGGGAAAATTCTCATTAGCTTCTCCAATGGGAGATGGAAAGACAAAACAAAAAAAATACCAAAAGAATGTTTTCATTTCAGTTTAGGAACATGCCTTTTACAGGACAGAGGCAACACTCCCGCTTGATATCAGGTGACTCGCATGCTCGACAAACCCATGAAGTAAAATCTTTAACATTTCGTGCTCCATAGCATTCTTGATGAACAGCAATTTGGCATCTGACAGAAATATAAAAACATTAATTAAAGTACTTAAAATTTAGTACCATGTCTAGACAACAGATAAATTTGCCTTTAATTGCCCGATATTCTTGCAGAAGGTCAAACTGATAATGTGAAGGAAAAGTTTAACACGTGTATCTCAGTCAAAAAATATACCATGCAAGGGCAATGTCTACAACTTTACTAAAGGAATAGTGACTTGGGTTAACAGAATTTCAAAACATCTCATTGAGTCTGTGTTCTTGAAGAGAGAAACATCCTTAGATGCTAGGAATAAGTCCACAATTTGGATGGCCCGGAATTGCCAGACAAGACAGTTTTTACACCCTCAGCAAGTCATAGCCTCATAGGGGGGTCATCCTACAGGTGTCCTTGAATTGTTGGCTATTAGTAATAGTTCCAAATACCATTTTTGAGAACCCGGTTTTCAGTGTGTGTATCAAGAAAAAAGATGTTCCTTATTGACAAAAACCTGTTGCATATAATAATTTTGTTGTAGTCCCAGTCTTCAACCCATCTACATACAGCACACCGTTCTGTTGTCCACTTGGCATAAACAGGCTCATATTTCTCTGTCAAATCAAAATATTGTAAAGTCAGTTCACTGGTGCTACAGCAGGTGCAACAAACTGCACCATAATACCAAATTATAAAATTATATGCTTAGAAGATCAGTAACCTTGCAAAAAAGTAAGCAACTTCTGCTTTCGCACTTTTATTGAGGGGCGCTTAAGACAATTAACAGAAACAACAGTACGTGCATGATACTCTGCTATCTGCAGCATCTGCGAAACCAAATAAGATTCTATTAGATATATGCATCTCTCATATAAGAAGTGGCCATACACAAATAAAGATCTATGTAGTGAGGCATCTTTCATAATTCACAAAGGGAAAAAATAAATAAATAAATAAAATAAGGAAAAGATAAAATATTATGCTCAATAATGTAGAAGAAAACGACAGTTTCCATTCCCTTTAAACCGAAAAATAAGTACTTTCGTTTTTTTATTTTTATTTATTTATTTGTATTTTTAAAAACTAATGCAAGGAATAAAAAAGTTTATAGCTATTGAACTCTTCGAAAATATTGATGAAAGTTAATATGAAGTTTAGTATTAAACAAATCCAAAAAAAAAAAAAAAGAAAAGAAAATAGAAAACATAGACATTAAAATTTGGTAGGAACATGCATGCATATGCATATCTATATATGCTGGTGCAGGTGCATGTTCATCACCACACAAACATAAATAAAGATAAAAAAAATTATATCTATATATGCTGGTGCAGGTGCATGTTCATCACCACACAAACATAAATAAAGATAAAAAAAATTAAGAAAGAAAAGGATGTTAGAGGTTTGGGTATATTTTCAGTTTAATTCAACCTGGTTCATAGTCCAAAATCACAATATCATTCAAATCTATCAGCTATAGCCTATAGGTCTGATTCCTAGAAAGATCAATCATAATTCTACTAGAAAGTTGAAACATGATATATGCTTTAAAAACTTGTGTAACCAAGCTAGATCTTTTCTGGACAATGTTAATAAGTCAACTACACTTTTCATACGACAGTATCTGGTTGGCATTATATCCTACATACATTTTACATGGTTTTAACTATCAATAGGCCAAGCTTCTTAAGTTGCTAAATGCAATATTTAGAGATATCAATGTCCTATATCAGCCAAAGATCTTATATCAATATGCTTTGGACCCTAAAAATGAATAATTCCCCAACGTGAGCACCAGGACCATCCAATATTTAAATCCTAGACATCTATGGCACACTATAAGCTATCAACTAGACAATAAACATAGAAAATAAATATATATTTTTTTAATAAATATTATGCACTGGAATGCTTACCCTAAGCCTGAGGTGAAACCAATCAATTATGGAGACCAGAGAACATTTGGCATTAGATAAAAAGAGCAGTTCTGATTTGTGATCATTTTAATAAAATTGAAGCAATTCATCTTTAACAGCAATCCATGTAAACATGCATACACAAATAAGTCTATATAAGTGCAAGTTGAGGGAGGAAAAATTAATATGCAGGAAAAAACAAGATCAGCTTCAAGTACAAACCCATTGTTCCAGTGGCAACATGGAACCTTTTACTCTGACACTAGTCTTCCAATTTTTTGCTTTTGAACCCGTATGTCGCTCCCATTCGTTAAGTGCCTGTTTTTCTGTCCCACAAGATCCACATTTGCAAACAACTCTGCCAAGAAAGGAAAGAAAAGAAATATATAAAAAAGGAGTTGAATATGTTTTGAGAACAGAGCAAACTAAGACTCAAAACTGAAACAATCATAGCTCTGAATGTGATCATAGAAATTCAAGCTGATTGGCTTGATTAATTGAAGCACCAAAGATCCAAGAACCTAAAACTCAACCAAGTGTTCGAAAAAAGAACTACACAAAGCGACAGTTGAGGACGAGTCAAATTAATCAGGCTTGACGACTAGGAGAAGCAAAAAGAAAACAGGTTTTGGTGGAAGGAGCAATGTAGTAGATACCATAACTGATTGCCAATGGTTTCTAGCAGCTAATTTTTTAGTAGTTCACATTAACCAATCAAAGAGTTTCAATTGTGAGGGCCATTAGCTTCATTATTTGATAATAAACTTAAACTATGTTGGATTGATACTCTGACTCTGAGTGACCCTAAGATGAACAATGTTCAATAGAGAATCATCTGCTTTGGGAGAATTTCAAGGACAAATTGGGATACTTGGGAACTGCAGAATGTTTGTTATCAAGATGCTAACCAAAATATGTTTGATTTATAATCATCATAACGTAATTCTAGCTAGAGATCTCCATCAAGGAAAAAAGTTAGTTGTTTTTGGAAGGAAAGAAATTAAGCACTAGAAAGAAAAGAAGGAACATTTTTTTGGAAGTATTGATGCTTGAAGGTATTGATGCTTACAAATGAAGGCTTGGAAAATATATGCCTTCCACACCTGAGCAGACAACTATAACCTTGTCAGGCAGCACATTCTTCTTGTTATTTCTGCATAAATATCTACCCATCATTAGATATGCAGAAGAAAACGTGAAATTCTGGTCCCAATACCACATAAGCAGTAACTAGTGATAGCTAGTACAGACTTACTTGACTTTAGGCTGACAGTTTTCTGAATCTGATAATTCAAAATTGAACTTTGCTCTGCATTCAGGGCAGTAATAATCAGTGGCTGCCAAATCCTGGAGAAAACAAGTGAAAGTCACCCTGCATGCACTTAGATGTTGACAAAAAAGAAAAATAACATTTTAATAGAGCATGTGATGAGCAGACCTTGGAAAAATTGGGGGAAACTTTGTCACATGCTGCATGCAGCCAAACTTTACAACCATCACAGCGTACCTAATCAGTGAAATAGCCAATCATTGAATTGATTAACAGATTATACAAATTTTCTCCAAAAAGAAAGTATATAAATAAAAAATAAACACGTGCGTGTGTGTGCGCGCGCGCGCGTGAGCATATATATGGGTATGGGATAAGCTTCTCTCCAGTTGGACTGGAGTCCAGTACAAAATTATGTGAGAGGCTGAGGCCCACCATGGGACCCACTAGACTCCCACAAAATTTTTTGTTAGACTCAGTTCAACAGGAGAGAAGCCAACCCCTACATATATGTAATCAAAAAATCATTTTAGATTGTATGCCTCACCCAAGTGCCACTGTCTGAATAATTCCTGATCTTCTTGCAAATGCCACAAGAATGTTTTGATTTTTTTAACTGCAGTGAAAATGAATAGAATAGTCAACAATACACATCCCGCATCTGAACGGTTTCAGTGAACATTTTGGTATAGAATACAACGATATAAACACCCCAGCACAAGGCATATAATACAAACCTTAGAACAGGAATTACACAGGTGACTTCCAGGAATTGGAGTCTTCATTTTATTTGAAAGATTTTAAGTAAAAGACTCATTCCACAAGACCACATATTGTTATTTTTAAATATGTAGTGATAGTGCACAAAGAAAATAAATTTAATGAACCCTAGTACTGAAAGGACAAAGATTTATACATTAGGGCCCCGTTTGTTTTCAAAGTTAGGTTGGGTGGGATTGTTAGTGTGGGGTTTGTTAGTGAGGAGATTGTTAGTGTGGGGATTGTTAGTGAGGGGACTAAGAAAAATAGTGTTTGTTACTATTTTATGACCATCGGACTATTAATAAATGTTCAAAGTGAATATCATAGTAATATATTTAGCAATAAATTATAAACACAAGGGTAAAATAGTCAATTAACCCATAGTCCCAAGGGATTCATCTTTGAATACCACCTCCCCTAGGCCACTACTAGTCCCCTCATTCAAGGCCTTTCATAGTCCCTATGAATCCTGAGGTCCATTTTGAAAACAAACATGATAGTTGTTATCCCCTCCTCACTATTAGTCCAGTCCTGACACCTACCTCTCAAAACAAACAAGCCCCTAGGAAGTCTATAGAATATGGATTAGAATCCCACAACTAAAGAAGAACTAATCACTAATCAAACCCAAGGTCCAATACCAGACCTAGATATGCAGTATGATATTCATTTAACACTACAAAAAGCAATTCTGCGGCCATCAATTTATTATCAAACATTTAAGGAAGTAAAAAATGAAGCATGAATTTTAAAGTAACTTGCCTGCTTCTGAGTGTTGCATTCCTGATTTGAATCAGTAGCTTCCTGGACTCCTCCACGAATAGATTCTAAATAATAAAGATTCCCAGCTGCTGCATTAATTTCCACCATTAACATCTCAGTAAAACCTTGTTCTGCCAAAAATGCCTCTTCTATCGCAGACCGAAGATTGCTGGGCTTGCTATCATTCAAGTCCGTCTGTCCCTGAAACCTGAACCAAAGACAAAATTTAGGCACACTTATGAAACTGCCCAATGGTGAGGCACATAAACCCAGCAGTTACACACCTGTCTACAAAATCTATGAACGGAAATATCCTTCCACGTTTAACCCAAGCATAGTCCTGCACATCAACATTTGTTAAAGAATGTACATAAATACAGACAGATATTCTTGTTAACTATATAAACAAGCATACATCATATGTGCGTGTATACATATTTATACTAGATGGTAGGGTGTGCTTGAATTGGCAGAGTTATAGATAGGCAGTTACGGAAGGAAACCTGTGCTTGAATTCAGCAGTTACAAAAGGGTAATTTAGGAATAAGAAAAACTATGACAAAAGTGTTCATACCAACTTGGCAATAGGCTTTATATAATATCACATATAGTATAGATAGATATCACAATAGTGAAGTCCATATAAAGCAACTAAGTTCGGGAGAACGTATAATAACTTACCCTTTGTGTTCCATTTCCAGAGTAACCAAAGAACATCACACAAACAGCATTGGTGACCCGAAAACTCAGAACTTGCTGGGGAGCTTGCGATTTGGGATCGAGAACAATAGCTGGCCATGCAGGATAGTTCTTCCCTGACATTGCCCAAACTATATCGCCAGAAACAAAGTCATTCAGACCATACAACCCACATTTCTTCTCACCATCCTCCTCCAACAATCCATTAATGTCAGTCAAATCTATAGGTTCCTCCGGTTCCTCAATTGGCGATTTTTCTGCGTCGACAAATCGCTCATGGAGCAATGATACGGTACTACGAGAACTCAATTGCTTCCCAACATTAAAATTCTTGGACTTCTGATACACAACTTGTCCATTCCCTAACAATGGTGGTAATTGACGACATTGATAGCTAACTTTGTCCCCATTACGGGCCTTACTAGCTATTTGTCCGCGAATTTTAGGGGTTTTAAAGCTAAATTTCTCTTTATAAGGAGTGAATTCAGGGTCCAAACTCAATTCTCTGACACTAGATTTACTATCTTTCTTCCAATTATCAAGAATTGAATCATTGAATCGAGAAGGAAGTACCTGAACACGCCCTCGAGAAGTCCTCACAAGCGGAGTCCTCGAAGAAGCCTCGGGCACTGGATTGTTCAATTCCTTCACCACCTTCTCCTCACTTTTCAATTTCGATTCCACTTCTGATACCTCCTTACACCACGCCGCCGCCGCGGCTATGCCGGAAAACCCCTTGTCGCCGCCATAGCCGGTGAACGGAATTACACCGACGGCGACCTCTCCGAGAAGATGCAGAGGGTAATAGCCGTTAACTTTCCGTTTCTTCCTATTCACGGAACTCTCATCGTCTTCACCATTCGATTCGCTGACTCTGCATCGCTTCAGAGTCGGCATTACCGATTTCAAGTTCCGCTTGATTATCATCGTCCAAAAACCCTAATTCCCTCGATTCGAAACCCTAATTGCTCCAAAATCCGACGAGCAGAGAGAGACTCTGCACCAACCCAACAGAGATAGAATCGAATTGGGTAAGAAAGTGAGAGAAAATTGGGCGGGAAAATCTTATAGTGAGATCGAGAAATCAATCAATCGGAGATGGGTGTTCTCTGAAATAGGGATCGACAAAGCTCAGGAAGAGTCGTCGATGTTAAGATACACCAAAACCCAATATTATATATTATAAACTTTCCATAAACTTAACGATAATTTTTAGCAATTATATCAAAATATATACACATAGAGAAATATAATCAAAGTTTAGAGAGAGAAAAAATCAGAGAGAGAGAGAGAGGGAATTAGGATGAGTGAGTTGAGGTCGGCGTTATCATTGCAATGCAATAGTATTATATATATATATATATATAGATATATAGATAGATAGATACAGATATAGATTTTGTTTGGGAATGAGTCCAATTCTGAAGTTGAGGCAAATTGGGCTGGGTTTTTAGTGAAAGCCATGGTGGTGGGTTAAAAATACAGAGATGGGAAAAGAGTGTGCTCCAAGAAACTTGTAATGCCAATTTTGAAAAAAAAAATAATAATAATAAACAGAGAGTTTTATATTTTGTCAATTTAGAAATTTTTTGGGTTTTATTTACACTAGTTCATTTAATTTGTTTGAAAGTAATTGTTGATTGTGGTTTTTAAATCACTACAATGTGTGTGTATGTAAATTCTGATATGAAGCAGAGGATAACTTGTCTTGTCTGTGCATCTCTGTGTTCAAAAAATCGGCTGCCGTATAAATGAAATTTGCATTTTTTTTTTGTTGGATTTAAATTCAAAATTGTTTCAACCATTTTTTATGGTAGGAATATCTTGCATAGCTTCTTCGTTAATTGGTATGATTCCCATTTTTTTTGGGGAATTTTTCTCTATTTATAATATGGCGGAGAAATTTATAAATTTTTGTTTTTGTTTGTCCTAGCCTACACTGGTGGGTACTTTTCGGGTCTTATACTGGTAGATGGGGTTGGTTAATATTTAGGCTTCTAAAATGGCAATGGTGGGTACTTTTCGGGTCTTATACTGGTAGATGGGGTTGGTTAATATTTAGGCTTCTAAAATGGCAATGACCATGACAGAAATGGAGAGATGGGGTGGTGGTGTTGAAGAAACGACTGCTAGATATCAGGGATAAATAGATGGGAGGCGGCTCGGGGTTCACCGGACTGCCATCACCTAGGAATAATCATGCTACTAACTGTACCAATCACACATGGACGAGGAGGATGACGAGGACGAGGACCAATCATATATGGAGATGGAGGAGGAGGAGGAGTAGGATGATGATGAGGATGAGAATGAGAATGAGAATAAATAAATTTTTGGAAAGGTGGAATAGTTTTTTGTTTTATTTATTTATTATGAGGAAAAATGAGTAAAAGGGAGATCTGTGGGTCTTATAGTCGTACAAATAAAGGTCTTGGAATTTGTTTTTTAATGGGGACGGGACATGTTGACATACAAATTCAGGTGTTATATTATTAATTAGTGAGATAGATGAAACAATGAGTGGGCCAACGGTTGGCTTGGAAGAAGAGGTGGAGCAATAGTGCTTCGATAGCAATATTTGCAGCTTTTTTTATTTATTTTTATTTTTATTTTTATTTTTTATAAGCAGGTATTTAAAGTGAATCAAATTCAAGATTTTGAATCTTGTTTGGCTAACTGTTGCAGTTTCGTAAAGATTTATAGTGCGCTTTAAATATGAATGGCCTCGAATTTTTCAGCCATGGTTAATAGTGTTCCAAAAGAAACGTGGCCCATAGAATCATTTGATTTTGTGTGTTTCAAGATTTACTGTTTCAGAAAGAATTTTAGCATCAGAGAAAGTACATCAAATGGAGAGAGAGAGAGAGAGAGAGAGAGAGAGAGATCAAATGATTTGTGGATTCAGAGAGCAGGAGGAAGAAGAGCTTTATATGTCCACAAAGCAGCTGAAGAAGAAGAAATGGGTGCTCTGTTGGGGTTATGGAGCCTACTAATATGGAAGAAAAGGATCTTAAAAAAGACACTGAGAGAGAGGGATAGAAGAAGAAGATATGCTAAATTTAGACATGCCAAAAGGAAAAGGAGAGAGCCAGGAAAGGGAATTGCCAGATCTAGACTTGTTTATACTGTGTTTTCTGGTATGGACATAGGCCCTGCCCTAAAATTGGACAGCCATGTTGGATCATGTGAAGCCTTAAAAAAGCCCAATATGGTACAAACCTAAAGTATGGTTGTGTTGTGCCATCTCTCTCTCTCTCTCCCCCTCTGTTTTTTCAAAGTACAAGTTAAATATGTGAAAATGCATTCATATAAGTATGGGCTTGTAGCCAAGAGTTTCTACCCAATGACAATATCTCCACTATCATATGAGTTATTAAAAATTGTACTTATGTGAGTCAAGGGTGTAGTGGAGTTAGTAAGATTTTGGAGTTATAATCTCTAGATCTTTAGTTTAACTAGTAATGAAATTAATATTCTAATCTAATTTGAAAGGGATCATGTCTTAGATTATCAAAAAAAAAAAAAGTGATAAAGTATGGCGTGCATCTCATTACCCCAAATTTGGGTGTCTGGATGTGAGAACTTTTAAAGTTTTTATTTGCTTCATTTGTCATTAGAACATTTTCAATTGGAGAGACATTTAAACATTTTGCCTAATTTTATCACATAATGGAGCTCCAATAGAATGGATCATCCTCTCATGCGTTTCGTCTACATTAGTCCCACACTTTCCAAGCACGCATGGCAAGAACGCAATCTGATAGGCTGAATGACGCCATGTCGGGGAGAAAACAATGATGAGAGCGGCTCCATTTTGGATCGTTGTAGGACTACCACTTCACTTACATAGATTCACCCACACCTACCTTCCCTCCTTATCCTCCTCCTCCTCCATCGACGGCAACATGGTAGATATTTTGAAGTTTTTTCTCACTTATTCTCTCTGCGACGTGGCATCATTCAAACCATTGGATTGCCTTCATGCCACGCATCACCATCTTGTGGAAAGTATAGGACCAGAGCAGGATGGGAAACACAGGAGAGGATCCTGATCCCAACAGAATAGGCAACAGGGTAGATATTTTGCCTCATCCTCTCTTGGCTATACCTACAATTAGTCTTATAGGCTAGGCATTCTAAATTTCAAAAGTACAAAATATTTAAGTACACATTTAGTAAAGTGATTAAACAAAATACAAAATATACTCTTCTTTTTTTTTTATGTACTTCTAGTAGCAAAATACTTGGAATTGCTTTTAGCAGCTTCTCCTTTTATCATATTCTTTGAAGTAATTTTGGATCCTAAAAAACAAAAAAACATACAGAGGCTAGTTTACAATTTTATGGTGTGCAAATTCTTATGGGCAAAATGGTTTTGGTTGTAAGAGAAAATGTTGTATGTAATGAATCCAGATCCTCTAGAGTAATTTTTTTGTAGTCTCAAGATTTAATTTCACAAAAGTAAAAGGTATAATAGTACTAATAGCTCCGTTAAAAAAAAAAAACTAAATAAATGTATATGTATATATATAAGCCATACAAAAAATCACTCTAGAGAATCTGAACTGTTAGTTTCTACTTTCCCTCAACAATCAGTAGTAGGTACCCTTATAGGATTTCATAACTTATATGCAAACAAAGTACAACTTTTTTTGACTTAATAGTTTTTATTCCACACACAATATATACAACCCTAGTTGGACATTTTGCTCTACAGAGATTGATTATTACAGAACATATATATGAGATCAACTAATTTTGCAGCTGTTGGGGGTCCGGACCGTCTTATTGAGCATAACCTGATTTAAGCTTCTGCCGAGTTTATGCCAGGCTTTACATGACTGCTAATCTCACTTCATTCCTACCGTTCTTCATACTGTGGTAGAGTTGACAGTTATTGCTTCTTCGGAATGTCAGATTCTTCTGTCTTTGCAAACCTTCCACGAATCCTTGGCTGATTATCGGCCAGTGCTTTCCTGCACGCATACTGCAAGTATGCTCACAACGAGAATGATTCAAGTTTTGTTTTGGCATGACCCAACAATTGATTGTTGAGAATGATTGACCCAACAATTGAGCTATGTTATTTAGACTTTGGGTACAGTACTGGGTGCGAGTATATGTCAAAGAATTAGATCTTCCAGAAGTTACGTATAGGTATAGATATATAAACACGTATTAGATGTAAATTATTAGGAATATAACTGAAATTATATGGGATTTAGGGGGAAAAAAGGAATTTACATCTCATATCCAGGTCAGAGGCTAAAAGGTTTTATTTACTACCAAATTTGAGATTCTTCTTTTTAAAATATTGTAAAAACCAAAGGATCTAAGTGTCTAATTTGAGTGGGTGTTGTACTCATCTCATACACTTGCCCTAATCATATCGGGAGGAATATAAGAGTCCATGAAACAATACAATTGAGAATCATTTTAATTTTGGTTGGCTATGACCCAATAATTGATGGGATAAAATGGAAACAAGGGGAAGTGAAAATCATAATTATAAATTACCTTGATTTTCCTGCCGAAATTCCTCTTCGTCTTCTTGTTCCTGTATCGGGAAAGCTTTTGCCTGCGGTCTTCAGTCGTACAATTGTTGATGCCCACGGATTAATAATCCTAATCCTATGCTTTAATCCTTCTAATCAAACATGCCCTAAGTGTCTAATTTAAGTGGGTGTTGTACTCATCTCATACACTTGCCCTAATCATATCGGGAGGAATATAAGAGTCCATGAAACAATGCAATTGAGAATCATTTTAATTTTGGTTGGCTATGACCCAATAATTGATGGGATAAAATGGAAACAAGGGGAAGTGAAATCATAATTATAAATTACCTTGATTTTCCTGCCGAAATTCCTCTTCGTCTTCTTGTTCCTGTATCGGGAAAGCTTTTGCCTGCGGTCTTCAGTCGTACAATTGTTGATAAATTGTGGCAGCCCCAGGGGAGAATGGATGAGGCTTACATTGCCATTACCAAGAGTCTGTCATAAAAACTCAGTATCAATGACCCAGCCACATCCTGTCGAAAAATGGCCAGAAAACATCTAAACATTTCTCAGTTTGTATACTTCGTCACAAGACCAGTAGATGCTCAGGACTCTATGAAAAATATACATTTACAGGTACGTGGTGGGATAAACCAGATGCGTAGACAAAAAAACAGAGAATTGAAAATGAAGACAAAAGCAATATCTGATTTCACAGATGAAAAAAGAATCGTTCCTTATAATGAGTCCTTAGTTTCGCGACATGGTATATAACTTGTTCTCCCACTAAATATCCAGGATTAGCCACTTAGCAATGTACACATGTCACCATGTAACGAAAAAAAAAACAATAAACACATGTATAGATATATACTCAGTAACACGGACACTTCTAAGAACACTTATCAGATACTTTCCAACACCAGTCCGACATATGTCCAAACATGTAACATTTTAAAAACTCAGACATACTTTGGACACTAGGAAAACAAGTGTCTATCACTTTGACACACATGAAATACATTTACAAATTTGAAAAAAATGTGGAATCCAATAAAAGAAAAAAGACTTAAATATTTTGTGTCGGTGTGTCTGTGCCATGCTTCTTAGGATATATATATCTAGGATCAGCTTCATACAAACAATATGAAGTCTCCCAGATGTCCTAAACTCTGCAACCATAATAGGTGTGCTCAAATTTACTTGTAGAAGTGTTAATTTCAAAATGAATTAGAGAAACAAAGATGTAAAGGAATGACAGTGATGAGAAGCAATGCAAGAAAGAAATTAAACTTGACCTTAATGTCACTGTCACTGAACGCCCTTCGCATCCCGAGGTCCATTCCAGGAAAATCCAGAAAATTTGGCCTCACTGGAATCCACTCCATTGAGCTTAAACACCTTGAACTACCACTCTTCTGGAAAGACCCTTCAGGAAACAATTTGTCCTCTGCAATCAGATTTTCATTCGTCCCTACAACAGGAATCTTGATATCCAATACATCAGATAGCGGTGTTTCAATAGCATCTTTTGCCAAGATATCCTTCTTGCATTCATAGAAAACCTCACTCAAAAGTTGGTCATTTTGAATTGATTCGATGTCCGCGGTCTTGAGTGTTTGGGAGGATATGATATCTTCCCCACAAGAGATCATTGAAATGGCAGCTGTCATGGGATCAAGGCCTACAGTTGGTTCTTCAATAATTGGTTCCGGAGCGTTGAATAGATCCCCTTCTCCCCCCATGTCATACTCCAATATGGTGGAGGTCTGAACCAGGTTGCCCTACATTGGGAAGAAAAAACATCAATAGCTTCTAAGATTCACTATTGAACGCAGAAATGATTAGGGAATACATGCAAAACAAGCAAAACACTAAGGTTTCCTTTGGATTTATGGATTTCAAGTGAAAGGATTTGGACACGAATCAATTTAGGAGAATTACTCAAATTTAGACATGATGGTTTAGTACTGGACTTTAAGATTGAATTTGAAAGCCTTACCATGATGGATTTGAAATACAAAGTAAAGGAAGTTATTTTGAAATCCTTCATACTACGGATTATAGTTTTTTTTTTTTTCAACAGCAGAAAGAATGTTATTAAAGATAAAAAGTACAAAGTGAGGACGAGTCCTCAACAAAAGAACTAGACAACTCTAGTCAAGACGGAGAAAGCACCTTATACATCACAAATAACTCTCCAATCTCTAGAAATCAAAAAAAGAGGGGTCCCTTTAAATGAAGTCGAAACAGAAGCTCACAGCTATGCTAAGATTATAATAAAATACTTTCTTATTATGCTAATCTATCGTCCACTTTAGTATCTCAATCTATCTATGATAACAAACTTTACTATATTTTCATAAATTTTATCAGATCCCTTCATTTGAAATCCATATATCAAAATGGAATCTAAAACCTAACTGGGATCCTGAGGCCACAAAATCTATCAAGCAAGAGAGCATTTCACAAAGTATTAATCTTCTTCTATGTCAAAGAAATAATGCACCCAAAATTATTTTATGATAGCAGCAGCAATCCATTCACATTACAAGTCAATATAGTTAAAAAATTTAAACATGAAACTTCAACATTCAGCTACATTAGGATCATTTGGAGTACTGTTTAGACATGCAAGACCATTTGGATCACACAGAACAAGCCCAAAGTAAGACAACATTAAAAAAAGAGTTTCAGAACTCCGAAGGAAACATGTTGGAACTATTCAAAACATATTTACACATCACGAATAATTCTAAAATTCACAAAAGATGAATAAAATTATAAATGAACATTCATATATATATATATATCATAATGAGGTTTGCACAGTATATTGCAGGCAAAAAGTTCTGAACATAATGAAAAGCTTCTAATTTTTGTTTGAATTCCCATGCAACACCACAATTCCACAATTCAGATAGAAACAACTTTCATACAGGACACATTTTTTTCTATGGAAAACTGCAACATAAGTGAAATCAAAAGGGAAAGAAACATTACTTCAATAATAAAAGTAATGTCTGGGAGAGAAACACTGATCTGCAAAACCTCCATTGATGCATCAATATGGTGTAAACAGAGTTTAAAAAACAGTTCTGTTGTGTTTGGTTGGGGGATTTAAGGAACGATTTGGAAAGGGAAATGGAAAAGGTAGGTGAAATATAAATAAATCATGCCTAAATTTCACCTAGTTTCACACACCTTTTCCCTTTTCCTTTCCAAATCCCTCCCCAAATCCTCCAACCAAACACAGCATTCGTTTATAAGTTTCGGAAATCAATACTTTCGGAACTGACTCATGTACAAGGTTTCACGCATATACTCAACTCAAACAAGACAATCATGAAAGAGGGTGCAAGCATTCATGCATGTCCTCTCAATGGGAAGTGACAACCTTAGAATCAGAGCACTTGGTGGTGCGACTATGCTTAAAAAAGAAAAAATGAAAAACATAATAGTCCAATGCAAACGTAAAACACACGGCTCATGCATTATAGCAGAAATGTGATGCCAAATATCAAAGTCATGTAAAGTTGGCCAAATTCAATAATTTATGGGTATATTATAGGTTAGTTATCCTGGAAATTTCACAACTTCCAAACCAGAACATTCCTTAAGGTTGAGACCTATGGTTTTACAACAAAAAAGAAGAAGAGGAAACGAGTTAATGAATTGAGTAAAGAGACAGAAAATTATGATTCATAACACAAAGACATTCCTCAAATGTTTTGTGAAAGTGAAGATCCGAATGAATTGATACGCCAGTAAAGAAACCAAAAAAACAAGGTTCTGATCCATAGCATAAGCATGGTTTCAGCATACGGATGATACACAAAAGTATGAGACAGGAGTCCCAAATGGACAAAGGTTTAACTGGGAAGAAAAAACAAGCAACCATCCTAGAAATTCAGCCCAAAATTTATAATAAATCAGAAAAAATGACTATTAAATATTCCCTATTAATCAAGCTAAAAATTGGAGAAAAGTTGACTGAGAGTAATTAAAAAGTTAAAAATTTTGTATTTCCAATTTTGGCAACTAAACTAGTGATGCAAAATCAAACAGGAGAAAATTTGTCCACAAATCGAAAGGCAAGCGGTCCCAAAAAATTCCAAATACTAAAAGTTCATATATGTAGAATTTTCTCACCAAGCAAAGATTTTAGTTGCCTCTAATACTCTTCAAATCAACAAAAATGTTAACTCTAAAATTCTCTGAATGGAATTATTATTATTTTACTTGGAAAATGCCCCAAAAAATCACCCACTTTCAAAAAAGACAGATCAACTGCAAGTTCTCCACAGGGGTGTTCTCCTCTTTTTAAAATTACCTTTGACACCAAAACACAACACATACAAACAACAACAATAAAAAGGTTAAATAAGCTTTTGCTTTTCTTCAACTTTTTTTGACTTTAATTATTGCGGTGGGAAAGTGAACCCTTAAACAACAAGTAGACATCAGAAATTGAAAATTGAGAATCAAAGCTGAGATGGAAAAAACAAATCTGCGGCTACTTGTCTTTTCCATCAAAGAAAAATGGAAAAGTAGAATAGAACACGGAACTCATGATTGTTATATGAGTTTCCATTCTTATATATTCTTGTTTCCAGATCTAGCATATAACAGAAAAGTTTAAAGTGATCAAATATGATCTGTTTGGTTGTTGAGAAAATGCTAAAAGTCAAGGGAAAAAAAAATCATATATTGAAGATATCAAAAGAAAAATTAGTTAGTTTTATCTCCTCATTGTTGATAAATGTGCAATTGCCTTCAACACTCCACTTTTTTTTGTGGCGGTTCAATGAAAAAGGTGAAAAAAATTTCAGACTGTTTGGAAATTAGATATTCCCGAATTCTCTCAGTAACCAAACAAAGATTTTAAAGAATTGACAAAATTGAACTTAGGATAACAAAATTCAATTCAGATTCCCAGAAAAACACACATGACCGAAAAACCCAACATAGAAAATCAGAAACCCTAACTATACAAGGAATTATTATCAAAGCAAACCCACAAAACCCCACAAAACTCTGCATTCAAGCTCATCATCAAACAAATGTCAGTGAACAAAATCAACATAATCAGAGAGATAGTTAGACAGAAAGAGAGAGAGAAACAGAGTTTTTTTTTTTTATATATATATTTGGTCTCACCATTGGAACATTCGATTCGTGAGAACGACAGAACTCTTCAAGTTGATGTACTTCTTGAGAGAAGGTCTGAAAGTAAGGGGACATTAGCCCAGCTTCAGCATACATTCCCTTTGCCTTTTTTTTACTCTTTTTCTCTCTCTAAAAAGTAGAGATTGAAAGCAGAGGAGGAGCAGGAGGAGCTTCAATGGAGATGAGAAGAGCCCTTTTAAAAGTCTCCTCCTACTACAGAGCTCAAAACAGAGCAGCCGAGTAGCAGAAATGTAGAGAGAGAAAGTAGCTGAGAGAGAGAGGGAGACATAGAGAGGGGCAGAAAAAAACAAAACAATCTATTTTGGTTGGTTCCTGGGGTTTTCATTCTAAACTTTGGAAAGGAGAGGATTCGCTCCGGTTCAAATCGAAATTGGAGAGAACTGTCGGGTCTATGTGACCTCGTCACGAAATTCGCATCAATAATTTAGAACCTTTGATGGGTAGAATTTGTTAAATATTTTATTTTTATAAAAAATTATATTAATTAAATATCCATAGTTATTGAATCAAATTATATTATTATTGACAGAAAAATAATTTGATTAAATGATTATCAATATCTGATTAACATAATTTTTTATAAAAATAAAATACTTAATGAATTTTACATATTAAACTATTTGTATTATAAATGCATCCTTTGTTAACAGAACTGTCCAATTAAAAAACTCAATCGAAAAGAACTGGGTAATAACAAGGGGGATGCACCAATAAATCCCAAATTAATAACTTATACACTGTTTAGTCCTAAAAGTTTTCTTATAGACTGAAAGGTTCCATTACAATGTTTATTGAATCAAATTATATTATTATTGACGGAAAAATAATTTGATTAAATGATTATCAATATCTTATTAACATAACTTTTTATAAAAATAAAATACTTAATGAGTTTTACATATTAAAGGATTTGTATTATAGATGCATCCTTTGTTAACAGCACTGTCCAATTAAAAAACTCAATCGAAAAGAACTGGGTAATAACAATATATACCCTATTTTTCATTTGATAATAATATCTACACTATTTTTCATTTTATTTATTTATTGGAGATAATGAATGAATTTTGTTAAATTATAAAAGGTTTTTTTTTGTTAATATATATTCTTAGAGAATATGTTAAGGGGTTGTTTAAGATAATATAAGTAAGTATATTTTTTGATTTTTTATAAAATATAAGTTGAGTTTGAAGTGATATAAAAGAGAGGTGATATGATTTAAATAAGATGATGTGATTTAAATAAAATAATGACTTTTTAACTTTTTTAAGTTATGACAAACAAAGCCTAAAAAAACTTTAAAATATTATATATTTTTTATTACACTTATTTGAATGCACAAACTTTCAAGTTTCATAATATTTGTCCTAAAATTGAACATTAATAAAATTTAATTATAAAATAAAATTATCCTTTTGAATTTATATATTGACAAATAAAATTTTGAGTGGGCACTGGCAAACTTTAAATAGCTGCTGATTGATTTATTTGATGCAAATTACCATATTACTTTTCTATTTTTCTATATATATATATATCGGATCTGCTACGTAGCTCGAATTGTCGAGCTCGAAATTGGCTCGAATCCAATTTCAGAAGCAGAGAAGGAGAAGAGAAGGAAGGAGGAGGAGGAGGAGGACTGGAGGGGGCATAATCACAAGGGGAGAAGAGAAAGAAGGAGGAGGAGGAGGAAGGAGGAAGGAGGAAGGGGAGGGGCTCAGCCGATGGCAGTGGTGCTACGACGAAGAGGAGGGGCTCGGCGGGACCGGAGGCGACGGCGGTGGTGCTGCAACGATCACTGGTACTGCGACGAAGCGGAGGGGCTCGACCGACGGCAGAAGCGAAGGGGCCCTCTCTTTTCTCCATTCCCTCTTCCTCTCCTCTTTCTCTTCTTCCTCTCTTCTCTCCCTCTTTCTCCTCTGTTTCAGACCACTCAAAACTCCCAAAACGACATTCGAGCCAAGATTTTCGAGCTACGGCTCATTTTCCTATATATATACATTAAAAAAAAAAACTATAAATAAGCCATACCCAAAAGCTACCTACTATTTTACTTACAATAAAAATAAAAATAAAAAATTGGTGGGTAAGTTATATTTTATTGAGATTTGAATAAAATATAATAAATTTTGTGATTTTAATATAATTGTATCGATTCATTTTAATAAGGTTGAAGTGATTGGAACCAATGTAAATTATGTAAAATTACAAAGATAAAATACACATTTAGTGTAAAAGAAATACCAACACAATTTTTAATTTATTTATATGACTCACAAATTACGGATGAAAATGAGAATAAGTGTTATATGAATTAAAACTTTAAAAATATTTAATATAAGTATGTCAAACTTGTGTAGCTTATAGTATATTTCTGAACCTCAATAAAAGTTAATCCCATTAAATATGAATAATTTATTATTTGAATTCTTATAATAATTTTTTGAGAGATTTATTAGAAAATCATTTTTTAAGTGTTTGTATCTCAATTAGTCTATAAGATATTTTTATATTCCAATAAGTCATATTATGTAAATATTTGATATATCAAATCATAATTCTCATATTTAAGATATTTTATGGACATTTCTACCCTTACAAATATTTTTTGAATAGTTAGCAATTTGGTAATGTGAACATTCATATTTTACAATATGAAGATTTACATTGACATGTTAACATTCACATTGATGATGTAAACATTCATATTGACGGTGTGAACATTCACATTACAGAACATTCACACTGTAAATGTGAATATTATTAATGGTATTTTGATAATTATGTCACTCATAAGACTTATTAGAATATTAAAAAATAATTTGAATTAAATAGAATATAAGTAGGTAAAAAAAATTTATGAAAAAGTATCTCTAATTTTTTATATATGTAATTTTAGGAATTCTATATAAGTAATTTTTTTTTTTTTTTTCAAAAAAATGTGGGTACTCGCAAATAAAATTTTGTGCAAGCCCTAACAAATTTCAAAAGCACTTCTTCTTCACCCTTTAAATAATTAGTTTTTTTTTAATTTATTTAAATTATTTTTGTCTAATAAATTATAAACAAAAAGTATACTAAATTGTTTAACACACTACTCTCAAAAAATAAAAAATAGTAAACAACTCAAAGGAATTTCAACAACCGTCCCCAATAACACATATTAAAATTATTATAATAATTTGTATCTAAAATTTATTTGAACCACAACTTTAGAGGTCTTGTTTGGCAAGATGATTGGGATTAATTTAGTTCATTAAAAGATAAAATAGATTAAAAAAATAAATAAGATAAAATATCACATTCAAATTATAATTATTTTATTTTTTTTCTTACAAAATTAAAAAAGAATAAATAAAAAAAATAAAAACTTCATAGAAAATGATTTTTTTTTTAACTAAACAAAATTAAAAAAAATAAATTAAAAAAATAAAAGCTTCATAGAAAATGATTTTTTTAATTAAACTAAAATAATTAAAAAAAATTAAAAAAATTCTTCCTAAACGGAGGCAGAATATACACCAGAAAGAGATATGTATTCGACAATGCTAGGTAGCTCAAATTTTTGTGGCTCAAATGGCTCAAATCTGTCAAAACGACGTCATTTTGACAGATTTTGAGTGTAAAACGACGTCATTTTGACAGATTTGAACCATTTAAGCCACAAAAATTTGAGCTACCAAACATTTTCCATATGTATTATAGCGGCAATGACAGGAATAAGGACATAAAAAATAAGAAGAAAAAAAAGGTCCACATCATTTTACATTTTGGGCAGGCTTCTCTCGTTCATAGTTGCATTACATTACTTTCTGAATTGAGTAAAGTTAGGGATTCTTATATTCTATTAATATTTTTATTAAATATTTGAGGTTTATATGATGTAAGTTCTATATTTATGTGAGATATTGGTAAAAATTTAGTGAAACATTTAGGATTCCTACCATTTTCCTTCTGGATTTGGAGGACTCTTCTCTCAATTTAATAATTTGAATTATTTATTTTATAAAATTTTTCATATATGTTATTTATAAAAAAAAAAATTAGATGGATCTGATATGTACATGTTTAATTTATCTCATTTATTACTAAAAAATAAATAATTTATTTTAAAAAACACTAATTTTTTTTAATAAATATGATAAATTAAATATGTTACGATTATTAAATCGATTTAATTTTTTATGTGAGTGATATACATAAAAAGTCTTGTATAATAAATAGTTTAAATTATCGAAATGAAATATGTGATTATGACGACCACCTCGTTAATTAAGAAAATTAATTATATATTGATTATGTGTTTATTGTTAATTATGTGATTATGTGTTGTTGATTGCCATGTGACCCATGGATATTATTCTTGACCTCTTTACATAGTTGTTATTCACTGGACTCTAGTTCACTATTTACTATATATATGCAGGTGATTGAGAACCGAATCAAAGATAGTGGCGTCGACCCAAACCCATGTTTTGTCAAGCCAATTATTGTGCCTTATCGCGAGGTTCCGAACCAACATGTGTCAAGGCTTTTTGGGTGGTTCAAATTCACTCATTTGATATTGCTAGAGTGAAAAGAATGTTTTATGACTTTTGTTAATACTGTTTTTAATAATGAGATTTAATTCCCTAACTTGTGTTTTGTCTTGTATATATGTGTTTTATGGACATAAGTTTTTGTGTATATAACTATGTATATAAAAGTTTATTTCCGTTCAGGTTCTTACAGCTCATTGGACGATATATGTTATTATTGAATGGCTTCTGCTAGCCCCTTTATATTGTGTTATTGTCATTATTGTTAAATAGGCATTCAGTAATCACGGATTACTGGCCGATTACGATGTTAAACCTATAGGAACGGGTTTGGGTCGTGACAGTAATGAATCCCATAGACCTTAACAACAGCCCTACAGAAGTCCATCCCTTATATTTTATATTATTATGCACTTGACAGTCATATCTCTTATCATTCTTATTAATTTAATAATTGTTAGATGTTGTTGGCAAAAATTTGATGTAGATGAAATCGACAAGGAAAAAGCGACAAAGAAACTAATTTTTGCAAACAATAACTAAATCGAGTAATGTGTGTCCTATACCTTGACAGTTTCAATGACTTCTTTGGAGGCTGTAATGTGAAGAAACAAACACAAACAAACTAAAATTTGATTAAATAACACTTAAACTTGTCATTTAATTACAAGAATCAAATTACAAGTTTAAATATGATAATAATCGACGTTATCGAATTGACTTCAAAAGCTGAATTACAGATGAACAACAACTAAGTTAAGATAGACTACTCCTAGATAAGTTACATTAGTCATACAGAG